AAAAAAAAAATTATTATGGTTTCTATGGAAAGGAAATCTGTAGATTAAAAGAGATTTAAAAAATAAGGAAGGGAGGGAGGGGACAGCGGGAGGAGAGGGAATAGAAAGGAAGGGAAAGGAAGGGAATCGTGCAAAACTAAATGGGACTATTTAGGAATATAGCAAGGTAATAAATTAGAAAGAAAAGCAAGAAAGTAATCACCATAAAAGTCAGAATAGTGGTCACTCTGGGGAGAAAGGAAGGTGGTGTAACCGGGAGGGCACATTTTTAGTAGAGGTCTATTTCTTAACCTTGGTGGTGATAACATTTGTTTCATGTGGCTTTCAATTTCTGTGTTAAATTTTGAAATGAGAAAGGCTTTCAACATGTGACTCCTCTTTTAAAACTGAAACTATTTTTCCCTGCCCTCACCTCAGCACCAAGGAAGCCCTGAAAACACAAGCTAGGAATGTAGTTGGCATTTCCTCGCCCAGGTAGAAGTGATTGGCAGGGTGCCAAAGAACTGCTTTCTTACTTTTAAGGCAATAAGGAAGAAGTCTTTCCCGGGCCAGCCTCAGAGCCCCTGCTCACAGCAGTTTCAGGGAGGGGAGTGTTTTAAGTCTGAGCAGTTTGTCCTTAACGAAGGCCCTGCCCCAACAGCAGAGGGTGGATGGCCCCTCCTGCTCCACCTGCCCCAGTGTGCAGTGTGGTGCCACCCAAATGCTCTCTCTCAGGCTGTTGCCAGTTCCTGCGTGCCACCAGCCCATCCCCGGGGCAGTCCCTTTTCCATATGTGATGGTTATATATGGCCATGTGTTGGGATATTCCCTCTTGCAAGGATTTTCCCAACATGTTTAATTAGGCCAGGCCTTTCCCGGGACCAGCCCATGTCATGTGATCTCATTATCACACACCACCTTGTACACCTGGGATCCAGAACCAGCTGGTGAGGGAATTCTCTGGGGCCCTGTGTCTCTGCCCAAGTACAAACAAAAGAAAGGGCACAGAGCAGAATATGCAGTTCAATGAGATTTGGGGGTTCAGTTGTATTTGTTTTTAAAGCCTAGTTTCTGAGGACAGAGAAGGAAAAAAGATAAATTCTTTAAGCTTCCCTTTCCATAATGGCACTCAGAAGGCTGATTCTCTTGCTAGTTGCCCAGGCACTCTCTGTAGTCTATAGGGTTTACACAGACCTATCACAGCGTTCTCCAGTGACAGCTGGCTTGCAGACACAACGGCCCGAGTCACAGGGCCCCGCGATGCCAGCTGGATCACAGTCACACTTGGAGTCTCTGGGAAAGAAGAAAAAGAAAATTAGGGACACATTTGCAAATGCTTCACAACTATGCACAAAAGGGCCATCTGCTCACAAGCAAACGTCACTGTGCTGGGCAAGTTCTTCTTCCATGAAACTTCTAGCAATCGTGTCCATGTGGCTCTCTCACAGCCTCACAGACTCAGTCTGTGCCAAGTGCTGCCCAGAGCGTGGGTGGCTGGCAGCAGCCCAACCATGAACTGTATGCTACGAACCCCTCACGTGACCAAGTTTATCACTGAACTGCTTACTTTACTTTGGTTGGCTATTTGATTCACCGACATTTTTAAAACATTTTATCATTTGTTTCTCTATTTAATTTAACGATGTCTGCTTTTATCATGATTGATTCCGTTTACCTGCTATTTTAGTCCATTCAATTCTTTGTTTTGGTAATACCTATACTGAGACAGAATTCATTTCAGCTGGGTGCGGTGGCTCACACCTTATATCCTAGCATTCTGGGAAGCTGAGGTGAGAGGATCACTTAAGCTCAGGAGTTCAAGACCAGCCTGAGCAAGAGTGAGACTCCATCTTTACTAAAAATAGGAAAATCAGCTGGGTGTTGTGATGAGCACCTGTACTTAGGAGGCTGAGGCAGGAGGATTGCTTGAACCCAGGAGATTGAGGCTGCTGAAAGCTAAGCTGATGCCATGGCACTCTAGCTTGGATAACAGAATAAGACTCTACCTAGAACCAAAAAAAGAAAACAAAAAACCTAAAGAAATAAAAATAAAGAGAGAATTCTTTTCATAGACCATGCAATTCATTCATTTAAAGGTCCAATGTTTTTTGTTTTTTGTTTTTTCAGAGACAGAATCTCACTTTGTAACCCTCTGTAGAGTGCTATGGCATTACAGCTCACAGCAATCTCAAACTCTTGGTCTCAAGTGATTCTCCTGCCTCAGCCTCCTAAGTAGCTGGGAATACAGGCACCTACCACATGCCCAACTATTTTTAGAGATAAGGTCTCAGTCTTGCTCAGGCTAGTCTCGAACTCGTGAGCTCAAGCAATCCACCCACCTTGGCCTCCCAGAGTGCCAAGTTACTTACAGTTGTGAGCCACTGTGCCCAGCCGCAATTTAATGGTTTTTAATCAACTCTCAATTTGTACAGACATCACTACAAATATTTTCTCCAGATATTAATTTTAAAACTTTTTCATCACTCCAAATAAAACCCTTATTCTCTTTAGCAGTCGCTCTTCTCCCTTCCCATCTTTCCTCCTGCCAGCTCTACCCCAGCCTCAGGCAGCCACTAATCTATTTTCTCTATAGATTCACCTAGTCCAGACATTTTCTCTAAGTAGAATCAGACCATATGTGGTCTTCTGTGATTGGCTTCTTTCACTTAGCATAATGTTTTCATATTGTACCGGGTATCAGTAGGTACGAACATTTTTTTGATGGCTGGGTAAAATTCTATGGTATGGATATATCACATTTTGTTTATCCATCCATTAGCTGCTGGACATTTGGCACTACTTTGTAGCTATTATGAATAATGTTGTTATGAATATATGCATACCCATTTTTGTGTAGACATATACACTTTCACTTCTCTTGGGCATATACCTAGGGATAGAATTGCTGGATTTGATTGACTTTTGTGTGTGTGTGACAAGACTTTCTCAAGGAAGGTATCCGCACTTTCATTTAATTCTTGCACAATCTTCCCTGTCTCTGTCACTCTTTTTGCACACAATCATGTGTCTACCCCACGGTTCTAAACCCAGGTGTGTCATCTTTTCCCTGATCTGTTCCTCCTCTGCTTGCCCTATGACCCACTCAAATCCTGCGCAAACCCTTGACAGACACCAGGTGCAGTCAGGCTTATGGCCTCTCCCACTCCTCCTCTTTCAACCGCAGCCTCCTTCCTCCCTTAGCTCCCTCCCCATTACTGATGGGGACTGTTCAACAGACATGCATTCCTCATCTACTGTGTTCCCAGAACTGGGGATAGATACTGAGAAAAACCAGACACAATCCCATTTGCTAGGAATCTCCAGGCAGGGCAGGAAGGCATGAGCCCCCACAGCTGCGCTGGGGCCCCCTGGACGTGGGAGAAGTGGACAAGAGATCTTGAGTAAAACAAGAGTCAGAATGTGGAGGGGAGGGAGTTGATGAGGAGAGGTCTCTGGAGGGACAAGGGATGCCCAGAAAGCTCTGCAGTCTCAGGGAAGGGAGAGGGTTCAAGGCCACACAGAGGGGCAAGATGCCTAGTGAAAGCCTGGGCATGGGCAGAGATGGAGGAGGACCTTGTGGCCCCATAGGCCTTGATCACGTTGGACTTCACTCTGAGTGGGAGGGGAACTCAGAGAGGGTAGCCAGCAGGTTTTAAACTTCAAGTTTTAAAAGGGCTGCAGAGGCAGTATGGGCCAGGGGAGGGTCTCTGAGCATAATCTAAAAGAATCATGAAAAGGGCAGGAGAGAATAATCTCCTCACAGTCCCAGTGGGACCAAGATGGCCAGGACAATGCAGGTACGGCTGGAGGGTGGTTGCCGCCAGGGCCAGGGCTGGCAGAGTGACGGGGGAGCACTTCCTCTGCGGGTGGCCCTCCTGCAGATGCTTCACGCCAACCTCTTTTCCCTCTAGCCATCCCAACACCCTGCCAGCTCTCCACCTCCACAGAGCAGTTTTGTGACTTATATACCCCATCTTCTTCCACAGAGGAATTTGAGGAGGGACAGAGAATATTGCAAACTAGAGGCGACAAACATTACGCAGGACAGTTCTACACCAAACTCACTGGTCCCACGTTAGAGTTCGAAGGACTGTTTACCTCCATCCCAGTTCATCTGGGAAGCAACTGTCATGGTGAAGAGCAGGGGTTCGGGACCCTCCCCAGTGACATCAGGCAGCTTAACCTCTGTGGGTTAAGCTTCTTATCTTTAAAATGCGTATAGTGATAACCCCAACCTCTTAGGGCTGTCCTGAGGATTAAATTAAATGGCCCACACGAGTATTCAAAACAGGGTATGGCATACAATAGGTGCTCTGTAAGCAAAAGCGGCTGCCATTAACACTGTTGTCATTGTGTGAGTTGGTGACAGCAACAGTGGGGTCCAGATGCTCACAGCGGTCTCTGGTCTTGGGTGCACCCCGCATCCGTCAGCATGCGGAAGCCTGGCAGGCAGCGGTCACATCTGTCTCCTGTCACACCTGGCTTACAGCTGCACCGTCCAGAGTTGTCACATCGAGCACTAACAGAACCTGTAACACAACAAGGCAGGGGAAAGAAAAGAAGAAAAGGAAATATTTACTTTGTTTTTTTTTTGTTTTTTTTTTTGTTTTTTTTTCAGTTTTTGGCTGGGGCTGGGTTTGAACCCACCACCTCCAGCATATAGGACCAGCGCCCTACCCTTTTAAGCCACAGGTGCCACCCGAAATATTTACTTTGTGTGGCATTAGGAAGTAACTGTCACCCTAAGGGAGCGCAGTAAACACTAACTCATAACTACCAGCGGCTGCCTTTCACAACTATCTCCCATCACCCGAGTATTCTTCCGCACACTAGGGAAAGTTCTAGCAGCTGCGGATGTCTTCTCCAGTGGGAGACAGCAAATCACTTGTAAAAGCTCTTTTCTTTGCATATTTGCTCTGATTTTGACATTAGGTAGCATCAATTTCACTGCATTTTTAAAAGACCATCAAAACTGTGAGATCTCAAGGAGAATGGAAATTTGTGAATAGGCGTGTCAGTCTTCTAGAAGACAGCGTGGATCAGAAAGTGAGCAACATTCTCCCTCATATCTGGCAGACGAAAGCCACCTTTTAAGGGTCAGTGCTTGTATGGTATGATTTTTAGAAGCATAAAAAGGCATATTAACCAAAAAGACATACTTGCCTGGAGTCCTGCCTATGGAGCCCCAGCGAGTGGGGAATGAGAGCCTTGTGCACCTCATCTGATCAGCGCCCCTCACCCGATCAGTGCCCCTCCCATGATCGGTGCCCCTCACCCAATCAGTGCCCCTCACTCGATTGGTGCCCCTGACCTGATCAGTAGTCCTCACCTGATTAGTGCCCCTCAGCTGATCAGTGCCCCTCACTGATTACAGCCCCTGACCTGATCAGTGCCCCTCACCCGATTGCTACCCCTGACCTGATCGGTACCCCTCAGCTGATCAGTGCCCCTCAGCTGATCAGTGCCCCTCACCTGATTAGTGTACCAGAGTCTTATGCACCAGTTTTTTAGAGACACCCTCTTATTTGTAAACGGGTCCTCTCTCAGATTGAATATTGATGAAAAACAGGAGTTGCTCAGGATAACAAAATGTAACACTGGCAGATCTGACCACTTTTCCCCACCTGCCTCCACACACCCGCTTTGGCCTCTGTCCTCTCCCACCTGGACCCTGCCTCACACTCTCCTCCCTCCCTCTGTCCAGGCTTCTCCACATTCCATTCCCGATAGGGAAGAAGTCTCAGGATGGAGTCTATGGCCAAGAGCCTGAAGTGCTCTTTTCAGAATGTAATTCAGATCATCTAGTCCTCCGGCAGCTCCCCGCTCCAAGCAGAATAACATGCAAACTTCATATCATGGCCCATGAGACCCTACTCTTACCTCATCTCCTCCCCTCCTGTACTGGGTTCCAGAGACCCAGCTCCCCTCCCCCACCCCAGTTCCTGGAAATTGCTAAGCTGACAGAGAAGGGCCGAGAGAAGACAGAGATGGAGCCTGTCATCTAAGGGAAGGGATGGTCAGAGAGGAAGAATTCTCAGGACACAGTCTATGGCCAAGCAGCCAGCAGAGGAAGCCAAAGGAGGAAAGTCTGGGGAGGGTTAGGGAGGTGGTCAGTGGGCGGCTTTCAGAGCTTAAAGCAAGAGCACATTTAGCAAGATGAGAAGCAAGAGAGGCTATTGGGGTTGGTGCTGAGAGAAGGCGGCAGCTCACTGCCCCATAAATGGTCAGCCGACAAAGTGAAGAAGGAAAATTCCTTTTTGAATTATGCTCTGATAATTACCATTAAAGTAGAACAGGGCCCTCTGTAATGAATTAAAGAAACACACATAAATGAATTTTGATTTGGGGACCCAGATACACATATTTTTTTCCATCCAAATTAATGGTAATTACACCTTTAACTTCTGAAAACCCTCCCTGCCATAGTTTCTCAGAAATGAATTATTCTTATAAGGTGAACAAGACTGTAATTCGCTTTGGGGTTGGACCCAAATAGCCAAAAGAGGTTATCCTATAGAATGCTCTTCTGAGAGGTACTACCTGTCATCCTGTGAAGTATTCTGTATTCAGAAGAGTGAGAAATGGTATATACTACATCTTTCAGAGATTGATAACATACTACATTCAGGAGGCATGAAGCTCATTTAACTTTTTAATGAGCTGTCAATGTCTCTAAACATTATTTGACACTCCTATGGCAATATCTATTCTTATCTTGAGGAACACAGTGTTCCGTTAGATACTATCTTGAAAATGCTGCTCTAGAGGAATCTCAAGGAAGTAGGTAGAGTCCAGGCTGTGAAATCCAACAAATCTCCACTCAAATACCAGTGCTGGCTCCTACTAGCTGTGTGTCATTGGGTAAGTTGATACTTACCACTTCTTTTACATGAGGATAAACAATATACACTAATATGCATGAAGTGCCTAATCCAGCATCTCATATACAGTAGGTGCTCAAGCAATGTGTTTATATTAATATATTTTCTATACCATACTAGTATACAGTCATGCATCATGACATTTTGGTCATGTTGGACTATATATGTGATGGTGGCTCAATAAATTTTATTATTATTTTTTTGACACAGAGTCTCACTTGCCGCTCTCAGTAGAGTATCATGGTGTCACAGCTCACAGTGACCTCAAACTCTTGGTCTCAAGTGATCCTCTTGCCTCAGCCGGGTAGCTGGAACTCCAGGTGCCCACAATGATGCCTGGCTACTTTTTCTGTTTTTGGTAGAGATGGGGTCTCACGCTCCCTCAGACTGGTCTTGAACTCCTGAGCTCAATCGACCCACCTGCCTTAGCTTCTCAGAGTACTGAGATTACAGGCATGAGCCACCACACCTGGCCTGGTTCCATAAAATTTTAATGGAGCTAAAAAATTCCTACCACCTAGTGACATCCCAGCTATCATAATCTCCTATTGCAATTATTACTACATTATTTTTTATAAATTTAGTGTAGCCAAAGCGTACAGAGTTTATAAAGTCCACAGTGGTATACAATAATGTCCCAGGCCTTCACATTCACTGCTCCCTCCCTGATTCACCTATAGCAATTTTCAGTCCTGCAAGCTCCATTCATAGCAATGTGCCATTTTTAAATCTTTTATACTATGTGCTATAGTTACCTTTTTAATGTTTACATAAACACCCTTATATTACAATCACCTGCTTAATGCATTAACATACCATATAGGTTTGTGGCTTAGGAGCAATACGCCATACTAGATAGCCTAGTCACATAGTAGGCTACACCACCTAGGTTTGTCCAAGAACACTCTGTTTGCACAACCCTGAAATCACCGACTGACATATTTCTCAGAACATATCCCTGTCTTTAAGCGATGTGTAGCTATATTATCACTGAGGCTTTCTTCAAGCCTTGCAAAGTTGCACAGAGGAGGTTAGGTTACTAACTGTGAATATGACTATTTCATGTTCTAAAACTTCTAAAGTAATAGCACTGGGTTTTCACAGTGTCCCACTAATCAGTGGTTCTCAACCTTCCTACTGCCACGACCCTTTAATACAGTTCACAACCCCATAGGTTGAGAACTGCTGCACTAAGATAAAAAACATTTGCCATAATCCCACATTATGAACTACACCAAGGGATTATAAAGAATTGGGTTTTTTTTTTTTTT